AAATGCAAATGAGCTGCTGCTCCCCGCCCCCTTTTCCAGAATAGAGCTGCGCCATTACAGCTCGGACCTGCTAAAAACATCTGTTTTGGTTCTGATTAGCATGTTTATTGCTCTGAAATCATGCGTTTTAAACCATATGAGTTTAAACTTATACTATAAGGTTTTCTGAGCACACACATCCGAAGCACATGGACAGAAAGCGGCCACCACACAGCATGTGAGTACTAAACTAATGGCGCTTTTCCACTGCAAGGTACGGCACGGTACGGCTCGGTACAGTTCACTTTTGGGGGTTTTCCACTGGGTACAGTACCTGGTCATTTTTTTAGTACCACCTCGGTTGGGGTTCCAGGTGAACTGTACCGTTACCAAAACGTGTCCCGCCCACTCTAAAGCGGTACTGAACTGCAGTGGAAACGCAAACCGGGCCGAGCCGAACCGTGCCGTGCCGTACTGAGCCGTGCCGAGTCGTAAAAAGCGCCATAAGTTCTCATTCACACACAGGTTTACGTTAAAAACACAAAGGAGTTACAAAAAAACAGTCGGTTATGTCTGTGAAGGTAAACAGCTGGGAAATAAATCTGTTTATTTTAGATCTGTGTGGCAGCAGCAATATACAGTAAATAAATCAATAAATCCACTGCTCTTGTCTCCTCTGAGGCTGGGACTGTAAATAGTGTTCTGTGCTCGTCTGTGCAGCCAAAGACAGAACAGTTAGCATGTTTTGCTCAAACTTTCGCCATGGCATTATAGCTGGTACACATTTGTCGCTTGCGAAATCAAAATGACGGCGCCGTGGGTGTAAACTTACAGACTAAGGGGCGGTAATATTATAATGAGATCCCTTTGCAACGTCACCAAGGGAGCGAAATCAGACGCGCTCATTTTCTCAGAGGCTTTCAGAAAAAGGCTTACCAAAACAAAGTTACTGGGTTAATCTTTTTCACGTTTCCTTGGTTGGTAGATGCACCGGGGACCTGATTATAGCACTTAAAACCTGGAAAAGTCAGATTTTCATATGTCACCTTTAAATGAGTTTATAAACTTTTTCAAATTGCAACAGTAATTGAATCTTGAAGCCTGAGATATGAAATAAGCCAGAAAATTTTAATTTTTTTAAATTGAACATGTTATGGAACCTTGTATATTGTATATGTGTTTTTGCTGAGTATCATTTCATACATCTGTTTTTTATGGATCATATATGATATAGGAGCATATGGAGCTCATGCTCAAAGAGGAAAAAAAAAACAGCTTAATTTTATTCAGGCCCAAACTGAGCCAAAATATGTGCAGTTGCTGACATTTATATGGCCAAAAAAGTATGATGAAATTCTGATACCTTGTAATGAAAAATCAATGAGATCTTTATAACAGGCTACTTTCATAAAATGCATATAAATATCAGTTGTCACTCTATATCTGCCACAAATATGTTTATAGTATGATGATAATTAAATACTAAGTTTTATGATCAAAGCTTTATGGTTTTTATTATGGGGGTCAAAACATAATGCAATGAAATTCAATGATGATTGCAAGATGAAGAAATAAATGTTTTCTTAAAAGCCTGATGAATCATATTTGATACATCTTTTTAAACATGATTTTTATAATAAATTATATATGGATAATCAATCAAACCTAAGCTGCTTCAGTCCAATAAGTGTTCATCTTGAAAGATTAATAACAATATAAAAGTTATTCTTACATTTACTTTATAAAAACCATTAAGGATTTCACAGGAAAAAGACACGTGAACCACAACCTGAAGGTGGACATGTTTACAATTATAGTAAAAGGCCTTTTACTGGCTAAAAAAAGTATAGACATCAAAAGGTAAGTAGTAAATGGTTTGCAACAGGTTTTTCAGCAAAGTTTTGATCATTTAAAAGCCTTAGAAATGTGCATAAACAAGTAGGCCTTATAGGGTTAAACATTTATCCACAATTTATCAAATAATCAATTTGTAGGTTTGTACAAAACAAAAAAGCAGTAAAAGTAGATCTGCCTCAGAGCAACGTTAGGACATGTGAACTATATAATCTGTACATACATAATAAAACAAATATTGGCCAATGAAATGTTCTAGATATTAACCAGGCTTAATTTAAAGAAATTAGAGCAGAACTAACAGTAATTGCACTTACCACAGAGGAATTGAGACGACCCATCGAAGGGTAGCTCTTCACCACACACTTATCAGGCAGACAAGCTTTTATTAGCCTGTCAGTATCCGTAGCATATTTGACATCTGTTAAACCTTTTCCCCAGGCTGAGGAGCAAACCAGCCACAAGAAAGCAAAGATCCCGGTCACAATCAGATCCTGGAGAGGGAACAGAGTAAAGTTTGGGATATCAATTCTTGCTCATGGAAATGCTAGGGATATTCTGATAAAGTGGCTGTCAAAAGTAAAAGCACAAAATTAGTCCAACAGATCATGAGAAGGTTTGAGTAACAGACACTTCGATGATTAACACAAGTGTGTCACTTCCAAAATGTACAATACTTCCAAACTTTACAATCGATAATTAATGTTTTCTGTTCAAATTTAAATTTTATTAGTGAATTAATTAAACAATGTAAAATAAGTGTACACTGTACAGATCACAAATATATCAGAGAGTAGGACTGCGTAAAAAAAACAAACAAACAAAAAAAAAATTATATATATATATATATATATTTTTGTTTTTTTATATTTTTTTTTTTTTGTATTTTT